AAAATTAGAAAGTTATACACTGTCGACACTAGGGACTATATTAAAATCTAAAGTGGCCTTATAAGGAGGGATGCAACATTAATTTGTTGAATATAAACTTTACTTTAACAAATGCAAAATGTTTCTTTTACTCAAGAACTATTCTAGATGGAAAGAAGTAATTTTCTCAAGTTTACAAATAAAAATTTTAATTCTCATTCATTTAGGGCTGAACGTTAAAATCTGAGACCTCTTCATTCCATCTTGTTTACACATATAAAAATCATTGATGCATTCTGATTGGTCTTTTTCATATTCAGGGTATCCCAAAACAGCAATGTAACAAGCAAATTGCCTGCATATTTGCTTAAATTTCTTAGCTTCTGTGTTGTCAATCAACTAACTTACTAATTTATACAGTATACAAGCAAATATAAAAGGATCATCACTAAAAATCAAAATACACATAAACATTCAAAAGTAATTTTTGAGACATAGACATATGAGACATAACAAATGTCTAACTGGAATTGACCAATTAAGATGAAGGATAAAATGATAACTAAATGAAGATCAGGTATATCATATATAGATTCTACCACTGCGTCAAGTGCAATAGGATATTTATCCACTCGAGACGGCTAAATTTTCAAATTTAGATCGTGAGGCTTGCCGAACATTTTAAATTTTAAAAATTTAACTGTTGAGAGTGGATAAGTATTGTATTGCACAAGATTTGGTTGTTGAATCTGTTTCTCTAATGATTTTTAGACGATATACAGACAATCTTGAAATTTTGTTTCAAATGATCTGCATTAAAGATGTGTTCTTTCTATGTGACATCATCAGGCATGATTGCCTTTTTTCATGGAAATAGGAAATTCAGAGGAAACTAGGAAAATTTGACCAATGAAGAACTGAGATCAAACGAACAACACATTGGTTAAATAAAAATAACAAGTCAGAAAAAGGATAAATCAGGTAAGAATAAGAGAAATTTGATTAACATCTTTTGTTCAATTTTATAAAATTCAATTTCAAAAATAAAATAAGTCCCTGTTAATATGCCTTTTATAAAAAAAAATATTTTTAGTGTTATCATGTATGTACTGTACATAATTTTATTACTAAGGGTATTAACTCCATATTGAGGTGCTCCTTCATACAGGAGGATAATACATAGAAAAAGTATACCGATAAGCCACATGATGAACATTGATCACTTTTCAACTGATATGTTAACAAAATAAAATAGAAAAAGTAAATTATGTTCTATATGGATGTATGTTTGATTGAGTAAACAAGATTACTGTTCATATTATGCCATCTATAATAAGTTAAACATGGTCAAAGCCAAATAACTCCAACAAAACATTTGAAATTAAAACGACAATACAGTATGGTCAATCACACCCAGTATCTAACCTTTCTAGCAAACAGTCTCAAAGGAGAAGTGTTCACAAAGTATTGTAGACTGATGGAATCAAGGTCATGAACAATTCATACTAACATAAATATACCAAACAGTCTCAAAGGAGAAGTGTTCACAAAGTATTGTAGACTGATGGAATCAAGGTCATGAACAATTCATACTAACATAAATATACCAAACAGTCTCAAAGGAGAAGTGTTCACAAAGTATTGTAGACTGATGGAATCAAGGTCATGAACAATTCAGACTAACATAAATAAACAACTTTCCTTCATATCTTCATGTTGTAGGAAAATATATAATTTATTTCTACAAGCTTTAGAAAGAAGAAGAAAAGCATAGCTTGCCGTTGAATGAAATCGACAAGACTTATATAAGGACCCTGAATAAAACCTTGTAGTACACAGTAATTTGAATGTAACCATTTATTTGCAATACAAGCAGGATACCAGGAGATTCATGGTTATCTATACACGTATATTTGTATAATAGAAAGGTCAATTGCCAGATAAAACCATTCTAATTAAAGAAATATATTGAGAAAGGCAAGCTAAAAACTTTATTTTCAAATAATTCAAAAACTAACAAATACTAAGCTGATCCAATGGATAAGTTAGCTGATTAAGCAATGGATTTAAAAGCAGACCACAACTGAAGTACAGAGTTAGCTAATGATCAAAGTGGTAATTGTCAGACCAAAATAAATAGGGGGATGTGGTATGATTGCCAAAGAGACAACTAAAGAGTTCAAAAAAGGTGGATGTAACCAACTATAGATCCCATAATTACACTTTTATGAAACCACTCATTTAAGTATTAAGACGTGGTATTAAACTATATTATTATGTAGATATGATGGTGCACTAAATTTGTATTATGTAGTATTTGGAATATTATGTTACTGCTCTGTTTACACTAAAAATGATAAATTATATATACAAACTCATAAAAATGTAATATATCAAATTATATATGAATAATAAATTGTTAGAATTGTAATGCATATCTAATACAAGTATTCCATTTTCACACTCATTAAGGGATAAATGACAAAATCCCATGCATACTTTATATCAAATTCAATTTAGCCAATCAACATCCATTTTAAGAGTGCATTATTTCATTGAAGTTTGTAATAATATATGCAATATCTTTTCTAGAAAACTCTAAGATTTATAGAATAATGGAATTTTTGTTTTTGATACTGACTTTATCAGCAAGCATATCAAACAAGCCCGCTAAGGAGAGCTGATCAGTGGCGGATCCAGAAATTTTCATAAGTGGGGGCCAACTGAATGCCTAAGAGGGGGCCTGCTCCGGTCATGCTTCAGTAATTCCCTATATAATCACCAAATTTTTCCCAATATAGGGGGACCACGGCCCCCAGAGCCCCACTTCTAAATCCGCCTCTGCTGATAATCAAGCTGATGAAGTCAATATAAAAAAATTAAATGCCACTTTTCTTTTTTACTGTTACTTTGTCTAAACAATATGTTTTTGGTTAAGAATATGAAATAGTGAACAATTAAAACTTTTTACAAATACAAAACATTGTGATAGTTTGGTTAAATGAATGAAGTCGCGTGTATGTCATTGACGTCATTGCCTAATATATATAGAATAATGGCATTTTTGTTTTTGATACTGTCTTTATCAGCAAGAAAATCAAGGGAGCCCGCTATGATGCAGTCAGTATATAAAAAAAAAAATGCCATTATGTTCTTTTTATTGGCAATTTAAAACGTTGTGATAGGTTGTATGGATGAAGTCGAGTGCATTTCAGTCATAAATTGACAAGCAGATCGACATGACCATGTGATGTTGCTGCACTGTAATGTGATGTCATTGCCTAATATTTTAGAGTATCAGGTCCTGTCCATGACATAGAAAAATATTAGGCAGTAAGATCAAAGGGAATATGTACAAATCGCAGATAATTTCAAGTATCAGGTCCTGTCCATGATCTAGAAAAATATTACCCATTAGGAAGAAAGCGAAAATGTACAAATTGATGATAATAAATTTCTGTGTACAAAGATCTACTTTCGGAATTTTAATATATTCATACCATTATTTGTTTTTCCATAGTTTTAATCATTTTTACTTTTCCATGAATAGCTAAAACAAGAGACTCGACGGAGTCAGAATCGCTCACCTAGTAATCCCTAAGAGTCATAAACAATGAAAAACATTTGTTTCATTTACTTTAAGGTTGGTTTAAGTATTCTAATCCGCACCTTGAAAAAAAAAACGTGTTCATCAAGATGCTTTACAATATAAAATATATGTATTGACATTATTCAAATCTATATCTAAATGACTGAGACTAGTTGTAGGTAGGAACTCAAAACCTTGAGTCTCAGTACATTTATTGCCTCTGCTTAAGTTTTGTGATATTTGTTTTTACTTTTATGACATGTTAAACATATCCACTCATGCATCCATGTAAACTGAAATGCTGAACACTTAAGTTATTATGCATCATATGAGCCAATCACTGGAGAACTAATAGCCAATTGCAAGTCAAAGCTACAAGTACTAAAATTCCTATATGCTATGTAACTCTGTTTACAACAAATTTTCAATCAAATCCAACAGATAAACTGTTAAACAACGGCATTGAATACAGAGATATTAAAAATACAACTTTTAGTACAATGACAAAATAGTTTTAACATCGTCAATAAATTTTAATTTACTGAATACAATTTGCTGATGACAACATTTCATTGAAGATTGTGCAATGCCATGGTTTATGCCTGACATGTATATATGTTTGTTAGTATGACATGTTAGTGAGCATACCATGATGGTACTAATCCATTGTGGACTTCTCCATCTACAATAAACAGACTGCAAAATCAACAGCCAGTCTACTCATTTTATAAACAAATTTTAGGCAAAAAAGAACAAATATTGATGATACCCAATACCAGTATGATAAAATTACTCAGAATCAAGTTTCTTTGACTGCCTCTAAATTACATTAAAATTTTGTCAAGATTTGTATGAAAAGTAACAATCACAATAAACTATTGTATATAATTCTCATTCACTTGATACAGCCTATCATTGAACCAAATCACAAAGATAAAATCAAAGCTGAATTTACATTACAATTATTCCAAGGAGTGGCAAATTTTGCCTCATATCATATTTGCATAATGTGTTTCAATGCTTAAGCATCTGAAAAAAATATGAAACTTGGAAATATCCAATTAAAATGAGAAATTTTTCTTTTATGTTTTTCATTTTTTTAACCTTTTAACTTCTGGTTGGGAAGAATCATCTTTTATGAAAATGTTAACACGTGTTTAAAATCATAAATGGCTAGTCTGATACTGTGAATTCAATATAATTCAAGGGTTACTAATTTTCATGGATTTCATGAAGATAGATGAACCAGGAATTTAAGTGTTTAATGAAGTACAAATTTGCTATAGGCTTGAACTTGTCAAAAACCAAGAAATGAATCTTCCATTAAAATAAATTTGTCTTCAATCCACGAAAATTGGTATCCACATTAAGCAAGTATGAACTTCTAACATAAAACAAATTTATCAAATATGTGTAAAACATTTTTACTTACGTTTTTGTAAAGTTATATAAGGTAATTCCAAGCCAGACAGTTCCCAACATGAGCAAGAGGAACAGAATACTGTTTTCCTTCAGACATTCTTGAATCATGTTCGCTGCTGTAGTTGTATCTGACAAGTTTGTACTTGGCATTTGTGTTGTTACAGCACTAATGTTCGTTTGATTAACAAAACTTCCTTGAGAGAGGCTATCACAGGAACTGCTATAATAATTCTTATTGAAATCTGGAAATAAAAATATAATCATTTAAGACTCTTTTAGCAAAATATTGAAATGTATCCAAACCAATCTAATTTGGAATAAATTTTAAAACTAAATAACAGTGTACTTGAACTTACACAATTCAAATATGCATCTGGCCTTCAGATTATGGAAAAGAAGTAATATAGTATATAAGTTCATGCCTCAATTTCCATACACTCATTTGACAGAACCCAAGGAATTGGAAGACTGCTTTCACTACCTGTTGACTATGAGAATAATTTGTTGATTGATAAGAAAATTGATGATCTTTCAGAAAAATAGTGGCTCTATATTGAACTAAGCACACCATCTAATACCTACCTTTTACTGTATCTTTTATGGCATCAGCAGAAAATGCAAATACAATGAATAAGGAAAAGATTTCTTCTGTTGACCTGAAAACAGAGAATGCAAACACTATGAATAAGGAAAAGATTTCCTATGTTGATCTGAAAATATATATATTCTTTATAAGTGATTTTTCTACCATTTATGCTCAGCACTACATTATGTACATTTATAAGTTTATATTATAATAATATTAACCCTGTATGCAAAACATAACAATTAATGCTCCTTGCATAAATTTTCCTATTTTGAATGTTTTACTTGCACGTATTTCATTAGTTTTGGTACTATTCCAGCTATGTACATATGGCAGACTGAACTTGAAATATATCTCTAAAGATGACAAGTCTTGATATGTATCTTTTTGAAATTATATCGCATATGATTGGACTGTAAATGAAATCATGCAACCTTTTAGCAATTTTAATATAAACTTATAAATGTACATAATGTAGTGTTGAGCATAAATGGTAGTAAAATCACTTCCAAAGAACAAGGTTCACCTTTGGCCAAATATGGTCTTCAATTTCAACTTTATCATAAAATTTCAACATGGCTATAATTTGGTCCTTAAATGGATCTATTTCAAAAGCCTTACTTCTTTGTTAAAATAAATCTCTTCATAAGAGTACATTCTTGGCTTCAAAATCAGCACATTTTTGATATATTGTCATTTTTCGGACCTAAAAGCTTGAGGAAACCCATGGCCTCAGCCTAGGATCCAAAATGTTCTGTAACCAGGAGTTGCCAATGATGATATTGAATCCCTAGACTCAAACACTTTCTGGATCATGGGTGATGGCCAAAGTAAATTATGCTAAAAGCTGTGAAGAATTTTTGAAAATTTGACCAAAACTGACGTTACAACACAAATAATGCATACTTAAGGAGTTAATACTTTAGTTTTAATGTGATGTGCCAAAAAAAGTTATTTTGTAATAATAGTAATATCACAAACTATTTCTATGTGAAATTTGTAGTATTTTGGCCTGATTAACAAATATCAAAATAAAATTTGAACCCTTGTTGAACCTGCTCCTTTACTGAAACTCTGTCTATCTATTGTTTGCAATTGCCAATCTTAATTATTACAATGCTTGAGCAAACATCCAAGCAAACAAAGGAACCAAGTCAACCAATATTTTCCTTTACAAGTATTTTCATAATAGCTCCAAACTAATATTTCAATTTGTTTTGTAAATCAATTTATATTTACACTCAAGGTGATTTGGACCTTGCAATATAATGTGAGAGCTTGTCCACAACTGAAGATCATATTGTTGACCTATATGAAAGTATTCTATTAAAAACATGTAGTTGACTTCAATAATTAATTCTTTTAATTTCCTTTGAACTAAAATACAAATATCTATATAAGTTTTGTCACTATTACACCTTGTTGAATATACCTACCTTGATGAATATTTCATGAGTTTACTGAGATTAAAAACTGAATATATAATGAGAAAGAAAGCATTCCACAGTCCAACACACGCAAACATGGCATTAAAATCCAGTCCAAAATCATCTGATATGGAATAAATAACTGAAAAATAATATTAAGAATAAAATAATATTGAACTTCCTGTAAGATGTATGTGTCTGTTTTATCACTAATAAACTTATATCCATATTCCAGATTTCCAGATAAAAGCAAGAATATTTTGATTTTTTCCCCCAAAATGCTCATTGTGTACTGTGGCTCACATGTATACCATACAATTGTTTCCAGGATTGATACATAGTAGCCTTTGTTCATCTACGGTATACTAGAATTTTCCAAAAGTGTTTCCAATGGCGTATAACTCCTGTTAAAAATGTGGATAGTGGACACAAATGATGCCCCAGCTTGCATATCATATAGTTATAAAGGGACATAACTGAAGAACGGTAAAAGTGACGCTACCCAAATTTGAACTTGATCTGAGTTTTGTGGTAATAAGCATTGTGTGTAAGTCTCATAACATTTGGTTGAGGCTAACTTAAGTAGAGAACAGAAACTAAAAATTCAGCAATTTTTCTATTTGTAAACACGCATAACTTTAGAACGGTTGTGTATAAGTTTTATAACATTTAGTTGAGACAAACTAAAAAATTCAGCAATTTTTATGTTTATAAAGGGAAATAACTCAAGAATGGTAAAAGTGTCGCCACCTTATTTCGTACTTAATCTGTATTATGTAGTAATAAGCATTGTGTATAAGTTTCATAACATTTGGTTGAGGCAAACTAAAGTTAAAAAACGGAAACAAAAAATTTGTACTTGATCTTAGTTTTGTGGTAATGAATATTGTGTATAGGTTTCATAATGTTTGGTTGGGGCAACTTAAGTTACAGAATGGATACTAAAAATTTTGCAATCTTTAGATTTATTAAAGGGCATAACTCAATAATGGTTAAAGTGACACTCCCAAATTCAACTTGATTTGTGTTTTATCAGTGGAAGTCAAAATTAAACATTGCATTGTATAAAGCATTGATTGTAGTTGATTCATCTATAATCATGGACAAAGGAAGATAACTCCAATTTTAAAAATTACTTGATATTTAGAAGAAAATAAAAATTTAGCAATTTTTCCATTTATAATGGGCATAACTCTAGAACGGTTAAAGTGACGCCACCAAAATTCAAAGTTGATCTGTGTTTTGTGGTAATAAGCATTGTGTATAAGTTTCATAACATTTGGTTGAGGCAAACTTAAGTTACAGAACGGAAACCAATTTTGGGACGTACGGATGGACGTACAGACGTACGTACAGACGGACATGGGTAAAACTTAATGCCCCCACCGCTACGGCGGGGGCATAAAAATAATTGCTCATAGCAAATTTTCAAATTTGTCTTAGATATTATTGTAAGCCACATTCACAATTTTTTAAGCATCAATGTGAAATGTAGGTGCAAGAGCTTTGACAATATTGATTTTCCATATATTTTCTCTGAATTAGACTCCAAGGTGAGGCAACCAAGGAACAATTTATCACATTATGTTTCTAAAAAAAGTGATTATATAGCAAAGGAATGTTTCCGTAAGAAAGCATGTCTAAATTTACTTACTTTTTGTGTACAAAGCAAGTGGTGCTGTGGTTAAAAGTACAATTAATGGCTGTCCTCCAAATACTGCAAACAAAAGTCCTCCCAGACATTGTGAGAACAAAATTTTCTGTACACCTGCAAAAGACATGCACTTTTTAAATCATATCACTTTAATATAATCAATACAAATTTTTAGAGGAAAATTGTGTAAGATATCTTCAATTAGTTTTAACTGTGAAGTTGTATAGATGGTAAGTTTCGAGAAATAGCTCATTTTCTCTTTTTTTAAGAACTTATATTTTTCTATGTTATTTTTTCATTAGGAGTTGTGAAGACTTTCAATAAGCTTTTCTAAAGAAAATAGTATTTCTTCTCAAAGATTTAAAATACCAAGCATCCTGTCTCCTATATTTAATTTTTGATCAAGACAGGAAATATTTGTGAACAAATATATTGTGAGTTTCAAAATGGACATTTATTCTAACTGTTAATATATGTTACCTATAGCACCATCTGTGTTACTGTCATTTAACATTCCAAATGCTATATTGGGTAAAACACAGGCAAAGTACAAGAAGAACGTAGTTGATATGACTTTGTGTATTGTTCTTTTGCCAAAAATACCTGAAAATAAGCATTAAAATTACCAATCAATATGTATGCACTCACTTGTTTAAAAAAACAAAAATGGCAACTTAAGACATCTATATATATACAGATTTTGCTTTAAACACCATTCTTTTAGTTTATAACCCTGATAATCCCATACTTGTCACATAATGATGTAGAGATTCATATTTTATCACATCTTAACAATTTTTCTAGTCTAAAAAAAAATCAATAGTATATTTGCAACATTAAAGCAAATGGTTGATCTTACAATCATTAAATTTCACTTTTGAAACTAAAAGGTCATTAAAGCAATGGTTCATTCAAATAAGTCCATTATTTTCGGAGGAGGATTTTTTATATACATTCCTTAAAGTTCATGTTAAGGTTTTATGTAAATTGAGTTTTATGTTAGCTGATAATTGGTGGGAGCATTGAATTTATTCTGAATGTGGACTTTCTAATAACGGTTTCTTAAAATTGATTCAAAATGATCCAATGACAGACAGGAAAATGATGGGGACAGTAGGGTTGATTCCTATTTACTTTGTTTGCAGGTGGTTTAAATAACCCAGTTATTAAGATGAAAGATTTGTAAGATCTCGTTCCCTTCATTATGCTATATACAAATAAACATGTCCAAAATAAACCTTGCGTTTACTAGAAACTTGTTGAAAAACTTGATGCTTACCCCACACATTACTTTTTATTCATCCTTAATCAGGACCTAACATGAATGTTCTATGGTAGTGCAAAGAGTATTAACAAAAGACCTATGTAATGCTAACTAAATCCACAGTCCAAAAGGAGTTCTGTTTCATAGTATTTGTGTAATAATAACTTGAAAAAAATCCAAAACTAAATCATCTTATTACCATTTCATAAACATTTAGTACCAGTACAGAAACAGAAATATATTATTGTGTTAGTGGATTGCTGTCTGGTTAGATTATCACATCTTTTTTTCTAATCTAACCAATAAATTCTATTGGTAAGAGCAAATTTAGCAAATATGAAGACATCTTTGTATGTATGATTTACTGTAAATACAATTATTGCAAGCTTTTATTTTTGCAATTTCGACATTACAAACCAAAATGTGAGAATAATTATTGTGACGACAGGAAACACTGCATATACCTCCGATTTCAGAATGCAACAGATTTTTATTATTGCGATACTCAACCAGTCGTATTATTTGCAATAATAAAAAATCACAATAATTTCTGATTTAAATAGTAATCAAAGACATGAAAGGTTTTAAAATAAAGGACCACTCCTTACCATCTTTATAATCTGACCAGTAATGTGGCAACCGTCTCTTCAGATCATTGATCATACCTCTACCTAAGGGACATTTTGATTCCTGAAAATATAAATGCATATGATTAATCCATCCAAAAACATAGGCAATCATAAGAGTATAATGATAACTGACTGTGTTATCTTACTATTATAGAAGAACAAGAATATTTGTCCATAGGACACCATTCTCTGCTCACACTATGTCCATGTTCAGTGAACTTTGTAATCAGGGTCAAAATTGTAACTTGTCAGATAGTTTATAAAATAGAAAAACAAAAGATATGGGGTATCCATCCATGACATAAAATCATTTCATGCACAGCAAAAAACACACAAAAAGCAAAGGAGCAGTGCTTTTATTGCTGTTCTTCATCAAAGTCACAGTTAGGCCTTCAACACGGAGCAAAAATAAAAAGTTCATCTCACAGTGCACATGTATACTAAGTTGCACTTAACTACCCTAACCAAAAACTTTATTGTGAAAATGAACTTTTTCTCACTATCACATTTCTATGTTCAGTGAATCCTTAATCAGACTAAAATAATTTTTTTTTTTAAATTATTCATCTATTCATTAATTTTATCAGGTTTGATTGTTTTGAATTTTCTTTTGAAAAAATAGAAGAAAATTAAATATTCAAATTGAAATCCACCTCTACATTATGAAAGGTAACCCACAGAGATGGATATGTTAATTATTTTCCAAAAGCTCTTAATATTTTTCGTAGTTTTTTGGAAGACTAATTTGTTTAACTAAACTTGCAAGACCTATTTTTCCAGTGCAGTACAGTTTTTTTTATTATTCATCAATCCTTCTTCATAACAAAAATGTACAAATGTATATAGTGATTGAAATAATGATAAAAAAATATAAGAGTTAGATGACATATTTTTCTGAAGACTGTTACCATTTTACTTCGTGTGTTCTAAAATTTTTTCTAAAGACTGTTACCATACTACTTAGTGTGTTTTAAACATGGCTCTGCTTGTCAGTCTAGTACAAAGCTGAGTCTCAAACTCATATCAATATGTTCTCTTCCTAAATAGGGTTGAAATGTTAAAGTTATATTTCCCACTGCAGTAAAAATTGTTAATTATCTCTAAACAGCTGTTATATATATGAACAAATGGTTCTTAATAATCATGTAAAAAAGAAAAACTTTGTTTGAAATCCTCCCCAATTTTATGTTTGAATTAACAATTTTGTCTTTGGCATGTACTTAAAATATTTCACACAAATAAATTTACTGCTAACATTTAGATGCATGTACTTTGTTAAAGAAACAAGTAAATGACTCATTTAATATGTAGAAAGCTTACATCAACTTAACAAAAAGAAAGCAAATCTATACATGGCCAAAAATTAGATATTGCAAAATTTCAGGAAGACATTTGGTCATTAAGAATTTGAATTTTGAAAACGTAATTTTTTTCAATTTCATAAAATTTTTACCATCTCAAGCACAATGAAAAACTGTTCCAAATCAAAATTTCATATTTTTCCCAAGTTTTTATTTAAAAATTTGATATTACAGTATTTGATTGATTGATTTTTGGTTGCTTAATGTCCATTGGCAAATATTTCATGCATGATCAGGACAAAAACAAATTAACAATAAATACAATAGGTAGGTCCTGTAATAGAGGCCGTCTGGGATGAAGGTCGGGGATACTTGGACTGCCACTGGAAAATGAGGGTAAATTGGATAGGAACAGAAATTTTGCCTTGCAACGGGCTACCTAAAGACCCCACAAAGAGTTATTGCAAGGGTTCTTAACATGCAGAGAGCACTATCTACACAAGGCATCAAAATTTAACATCCCCATTCTGACCAGATGTGGCTGTGTACTTGTACATCCAGCACAACCAAACAGACACCACTTTAGTAAAGGTTTTACATGTGACGTAATAAATTTATCATAAGATACTCTTTTTACCATGACAGTATTCAAGGATAATATTTTGGATTTTTTACCAACATTTAAAATTTAAAAATAATATAAGGAAAAATTTTGCCCTTAAAGATTATTTATAGATTCCTTTAAATTATACAGGGTAAAATGGTACATTTTGTATGTATAAACATTAGGTTTAATGGATGAGTTTTTACCTCCATCTTCTTGTGGAAAATCATAACTTACTTCAGCCTCATCCTTTTCAAAATCAGATAAGACAAGATGAGATTTTCTGTTTTCTGGAAGTCCTTGTTGTGAGCTTAGCAGCTTTGTTCTCTGCTGAAGTAACTGCTTGAACTCAGACTCTGTTTGCACTTCTAAAAGTTTGTGTCTGTAGTCCATGTCGAGAAATAATGTAGAAAATGTTCTGGCAGTCTCTAGAGCACTCTTCGTACTTTTCTGAAGAAAAGAAAAACTCCATTAAATGGGTGATTAATTTCAAATATAATGGAATATTTCCCTTAATCTAAAACTATGTGGAGGTTCAATATAACATTAGTTCTATGCAAAGGTTCCATTTATCTAAAGCTTTATACAATTATATCTGCCTATAAATTCACTAGAGACAACATACTGCAATATTGACAAAATTTGTGTTCTATTACAAAATAATGAACAACTATTTTGCATTATTTCTCAAATGTATGTTCTTAAAAGCTCTTTATAGGTTTTATTAGACTTAAAATTTATTGTTCAGACACTTGTAAATATCAGTATGTCTGATAGCAGAAACCCCATGACTGACAATGGCGTCCCATGATTAATATCAAATAAAATTGAGAAACGGGGAATGTGTCAAAGAGACAACAACCCGACCAAAGAGCAGAAAACAGCCGAAGGCCACCAATGGGTCTTCAACACAGCGAGAAAATCCCGCACCTGGAGGCAGGCTTCAGCTGGCCCCTAAACAAAAATGTGTAATTAGCAATAAATTCTGTAAAATATTCAGTAACTTTTATATTCCTGTTTATGCTGCAACTGTGCTATTTGTGCAGTCAAATTACATTAATCGTATAATCATTTGAGATATACCGCCACTGACCGTATATCATCTTGTTTGTGACGTTGATAATGTGTATCCGTTGAGTTTAACTTATGATGTTAATACAGAATACAGGTTCACAAACTGTTTATGTTGTCCGTTTCTAATTCAAATGATGGTTTTTACCAAAAATATTTTATTTTGAAATAGTTACAGTAGATAGAGGATAAGCATACATTTTCTCAAAATATAAATTTTATTTGTACTTAACGGAAACAGGATAGAAATGCTTGGCAAAGCCTAACATTCTACCTGTTTCTAAAGACTAGTTTAAATAAATCAATATATATCTGGACAATGTATGATTACTATATATATAACATAATGCTGTAGTATATTGTGGAAAACAATTAGCATTTCCATTGTAATTTAATCCTACAGATAGACTCATCACTTTTTTTTCAAATGGTTCCCTTTTTGTGCTCTTTTTGCATTTAAAAAGATTTCAATACCTACTGAAAACTGTATAACAATTCCCTTGCTAAACCAAATATATAATCCTTCCTGTATTTATTTATTACAAAATGTGACTTTGATAATGATGAAGTTGATCGTTTTGACATTCTGGCCAATTCTTACCAAAAGCTTTACAATTGGCATTTGTTAGTTCTTTACTAAGCACATAGCATTTAGGAGTGATAGCAAGGACCTGTCAGCGCTGAGTCAGAATAGGGTAGAGTAAGGTGGTTTGTCTTCCTTTGAACTGTTACTTTTAAGCTAGTATGTTAAAATTTTTGACTCAGTAGTTTGATCTTGTTCAAAGCAGCATATATTCATATATCGTATGCAAATCAACCTAAATATGATGTTTTATTTGCTTTTTGTTGTTATGAAATAATAGATAAATACAAAAAAAAACATCCTAAATAGAGAATCTATTTTCTACATATTTCAAAAGCATGTAAAGTTGATTGCTGAGTTTATAAACAAACCTCTACTGTAGGAGTAAGGACAAGTATAACTAGCTGGACTTCCTGACTAGTACTACCAAGATTTGCTGGATGTGCTAATCTGGCTATAACTACATGTCTCTTTGTTAAGTTTGATAGCTCACACCTACAATATCAAATAGTTATCATTCAAAGAACTACATAAATAACAGCATTTTCAGAACCATTTCTTTTCTCATTATCTAGTATAATTTTGTCAGGAACACTAATCACTACAAAAATCCTTCATTTATTTAATGAATACCATGGCAACTGATATTTTATATGGCATTACTATGAGCTGATTAGGTGCTTGAATTCATAATTCAAATTAACAACTGTGCTGTGAGTTTACTAAATTTGCTTTAAATCATAAATATCTCCATTAAAACTACTTAGTACTAAATTACTTTGCGTGATATTACTTTAGACTTTACTATTAGTTACTTAAAATGTAAAATAAAAAATATTTTATATCAACCAAGCTTTTGTTAGTAGTTCATTATTAACATTGCTATGAATAAAAAGGAGATTGGAGGTACAAGTCAATGAAAGAGGAACACATTGACACAGAAAACAGACTAGAGGTCAACATAAAGTTTCAAAAATACAACTGTGCTTCGGACGTGCAACTGTCTTAAATTATTTCATTTTATGTGTTCTATTTTTGATGCATCAAACTATTATGATGCAACAGAAACTAAACTAGTTTTAAGTTACATTTGCCACTGAATAAGCAGATTATTAGAACTGAAGAGGTTTTGAATCTTATACATTCCTATTGAACTTTAAACATGTGACCTAAGTTGTATAAGTGTGATATAATACATTGTGACTTACATGGCACATATCCATGACTGATCGAAATCAAAGCCACTGTCTTCACTGGTAGTTGTACCCTGTATTGTTCTACTCAGTGTGTGCACTGAAAAATATATCATACATCAGTTACAGAAATTTCTTCAACTTGAACTACCAAAAAGTCTGAATTATAAAAGATGGTTAGTTCTTAACTAAACTGAATTAGACTTCAATCCTTGAAATACAATACCAAAATATACAGAATTTAGAAAATGTCCCATAATTATAGGGCCATTCTTTCAACATTAGAAATTTGGACAAGATTGTGGGAGACACATTACAATAGAGAGACTTCCGTACATGTATGCACAATACATTCTATTATATTCTGTGTTAAATTTAATGCTCAGTGACCAGCATTTCAATATAATTAGCCAAAGGGAGGTAACTCAAAATATTTCTTTCACCTTGATACAAATATGTTCTACTTTTAACTTAACACTAACAATCATTAGCATTACTTGTCTTACTTCAATCTTCAGTTTTAATTGTAACCACTGATGTACACAATACAACAATATGTTATTAAGATGAAGTTTTTTGGACAAATACTCATAGAATATTATATTCTGTCATAATCTGTCAGTGAAAAATGAAATGATTAACCTTCAAAATGATTGATGTCATAAGCTCAAGTTGTTTACTTGAAAACCTGCAACCATTATATATCAGAAGCTTGCAAAAAACATATACTGTAACACTCTGGAAGGAATTTTTGGTAATGGATAGTACATTTAAAAACAAATCACCTCTCATGTCATTAGGACTGGCTTTCAAATCCATCACCTTTTATGTAATTTAAAATGACGCTGTTACATAAAAAAAAAGGTCAATGCATGAAATTGTTTTAAAGCTGCTGCTTTCAGGGATTTCAAGACATTGTTAAGTCTTTTATTATAGAATAAAGGGCTAATAAACTTGGGGTTAATTTTCAGCAAAAAGAGGCAACAATCTTGAAGAAATGAAACAGCATTTATTCTCACCACGTTTTCCTAACGAAATATAAAAAAGTTTGAGAAATATTAGTCTACACCTATAGTTTCACTGTAAACTGAAAATTCAATTTCATTTTAGCTTTTTTGCAATCTCAATTCCATTTAGCATTTCAATAGACACCAAGTGTTATTGATTTGTTTATTATGGATTTTTCATCCAACTGTCTATTGAACCTGGTCAACTGTTGTTTTTCCTAATACAAGTTTTCATTTCATTATTTGAACAAAACAGACTTATCTAAAATGCACTGTAAAAAGCAAAATCTAAGACAATAAATTCATTACATATAAAGCAATGTTCTGCTGCTACCAAGTTGGCCTAGTTTCTGTCACACTTTGCATTTGATGGAATGCTTTCAGTTTAATTACTGAAATAAAAGTCAATAAATACTCGAAAGACATTTTTTTTCAAATCTTAGAATACTTATTTGAAAAGGAACCATTAATTAAAATTAAAATGTCACCCAAAATTGGTTACCAAATGTCTAACAGGTGGCATGAAATTAAAATATTTCTTGCTGATTTGGTTTAACAATTCTCTATCTCATGTAAACATTCATTCATCCATTTCATACTAAAAGTTGACATTTGTAATGGAAAATTTAAAAGCTGTTGGAACAGACACATCTGACATTTCTACTTTACATAGACATTGTATGACAACTAACATATATCATGCATATGTAAATCATTAATAAAACTATTTCTGTATATTATTTAAGACATTTTCAGCTTTGCTGTTAGCTACAATTCCAACGTTAAACCAAAGAGCAGAACTTACTATTTTCAGATATGTTCACAATCTGGGCCACCTTATTAGTGGCAACACCTTTAGAATAGAGAAATACAAGCAACTTATCTTGCCTTTGTCATACTACTGTGGATTCATTCATTTTCATGGATAACAATTTTCATGGATTGAGAAAATATTGTACTTTAGTGCATGCTTTCGTGGAATTGCCAAATTAAATCTGCATTCAAGCCTATTTGTATTTTGTTGATCATTTAGATTAGTAATTCACCTTTAACCACAAAATCTATGAAAATTGGTATCCCAGAAATTATAAAAAATCTACAGTAACTAGGAAAGGCAATAAATATTCCTTTCCTCCATCTTTTTTCTTGAGGCACTAAAGGGACCTCAATACGTTACTAAAACCATCTTACAGATTTTGTTCTCACTGGTACCTATAACTGTGTGTTGATACCAAGGATTCTAGTCTTTTCCACTCCATTGTTTTAAACTGAAACCCAATTTCACTAGCTCTATTAAGATTCAAATACCCTCATGCATGGATTACATTTATCAGTGGAATGATGTATCAGAATTCATATAATCTTTATTGCATTAGAACATTTTAACACCTTTTCCAGAGCAATTTGTGAAATAAGGGAATGGAAAAAAATAAATATGTAACCACACAAAATATTTATAAAATTTCAATTTTGTCATTAAATACAAAATTTACTACTATTTCAAAATCACTATATATCTTTGAATTAAGGAGATGTGAGTATTTTCTGGACATAATGTGTATATATCCATATGGCCCTAACCATATGTGCAAGGTCCGGGTAATTAACATGATGAAAGTTGAAACGTTTAATCTTTCATATTGTTAATTCCTTAGGATAAACCTTCAAATTTTCATCAGAAAGAGTTTATAAAAATAAAATGTTCTGTTATCTAATCATATGTTAATCAGGGTTACATATTTAATAAACACGAAAAAAGTAACGATCCAGTGAATTTAAATCACAAGTTAGAGTAATAATAAACACAATTATACATGGTCATTTTGGATTTATCCTGAAGAATGACAAATAGCCGACTTGGGAAGATAACTTCAAGAAATATAAATGAACTTGCAAACAAGAGGTCACCTATTTTAATAATGGACGAAAAGGTCAACAAGATAAAAATTATTTTAATAGACATTAGTGAATGCAAAAAACAGGAACACAAGATTAAGACAAAACATCAAAGATGAAAAAGTCAGTTAGTAACTTGTGTCTTTGGTTTGGAAAATGAGTTGTGTGTACGATACAGCAAAAGTTACAATTCTTACACAGTTTATCTTTACTTAATTGTTTTAAACAAGCAATTGCAGTGAAATATTCTTGAGAACTCATCTGTGTCCAAAAAGTGTTTGTTATGTTTCTTACTTACGCCTCTTCTTATATCCTTTTAAGTTATGTTTTGTTTCTTGAACATACATGTTTGGTTCGTTACTTGCTGAACAAAAAGCATGCAAGTAGGATGAATGAGCATAGATCATTGGTTGACATTTCTCATGCATATTCAAAAAAATACATATGTGGTCCAAATACTCATATGGTCCAGCCTGATAATAACCAAACAAGTAAATACTTGTATGGTCTGACCATTCACAAATGGTCAGACCATATGCGTATACACATATGGTCCAGATACTCATATGGTCTGGAACAGGTACATGTCAATGAGATAGCAACAACAAAAATATCCTAAAGACATCTAAATGGCAACATTCCTGCATTATTACACATTTATAATATATATTCCTGCACATTCCCATTGCATACAGGATGAATTGCATAGTAATTGCACATTATTGCAAGAATAAACAGCTGCGCCATGAGCGCATGATACGCCTGTCGTCTTGTGTGTGATTTTTTATGCAATAAGCATTAATAGTTTCTGACATACGTCGTGACATGCGAAAACCCCCTTTTTTTTTTTTACAAAAAACTCAATATCTATAAAATAAAATTTTGAATCAAAACCAAAAAGTATACAGATTTTTAGATTAATATAACTAAGAAGTGTGTAAAATTTTAAGCAATAATCATAAATCGTTTTTGGGATACTGCACGACATGTGAAAACCCCCCTTTTAAAAAAAAAAAAATCAATATCTAAAAAATAAAATTTTGAATCAAAACCAAAAAGTATACAGATCTTTAGATTAATATAACTAAGAAGTGTGTCAAATTTTAAGCAATAATCATAAATCGTTTTTGAGATACGGCGCGACATGTGAAAAACCCCTCCCCCTTTTTTTACAAAATACTCAATAACTCAAAAATAAAATTTTGAATCATCACCAAAAAGTATACAGATCTTAATGTTAATATAACTAAGAAGTGTGTAAAGTTTTAAGCAATAATCATAAACTGTTTTTGAGATACGGCGCGACATGTGAAAAACCCCTCCCCCTTTTTTAACAAAATACTCAATATCTCTAAAATAAAATTTTGAATCATCACCAAAAAGTATACAGATCTTAAGATTAGTATAACTAAGAAGTGTGTAAAGTTTTAAGCAATAATCATAAATTGTTTTTGAGATACGGTGCAACATGTGAAAAAAAACACACACCTGTTTTAGTTACTAAGTCCTGTAACTCAAAAAGTTTTAATCTTTTTTTCACCAAAAAGTATACAGATCGTTTGACCATCATAAGAAACAACTATGAAGTTTCATGAAATTTGGATAAGTCATTCTCAAGTTACGGTGCGACATGTTTACGCGGGACAGACAGACGGACAGACAGACGGACAGATAGACAGACGGACACCGGACATTTGTATACCATAATACGTCCCGTCAAAAACTGACGGGCGTATAAAAAAATTGATCTTGAAGCATTTGATGAATTTAAGACTTTTCATTATGAAAAATTCAAACAAACGAAAGATTATATGGTGATCCCTGTAGTCATTGTGTGTCTAACAATAAGTTGATCTGTCAATGTTATTAAGGGGTTTTGAAATAGTCTAGCAAAGAATTGTCACAAATATTATGATTTGATCATAAGTATGGAGACTAAATTACAACAGTATTTTTACTTCTGATTTTCCATTTGATAGCAAAATTCTGAGTAACTTTGTGATTGAAAATTTTTCTATACCTTTTATCATAAATGTTTTTTTCTTCCAATTTCTCATTTCACAAATTGCATCAATTATATTTAGCAATCAGAGGCCATGGGGGGCACCCAGGCAGTAGCTGTTTACGTCACAACTATCCTGGTAACATACAGTGAAAACTATCTAAACCAAAACTAGCTGACTACCACAAAAGATAATGCATGTTCAAATTAAGAATAAGAAAGATTTCACTTTTTTAAAAGTATTCAGTTTGTGTTCTGAAGAAGAGGCAGGATTGTATTACTATTTACCCTAGAGAGCCCAGTTCTTTATAATAAGGGCCAGTTAATTTGATCAGGGTTTTAAAAAAATGGGAGAAGATACCAAGGAGAAGGGACCAAGAACCAGAAATTGAAGAAAAACTTGACAACAAAGTGACCAAAAAAAAAAGTCAACAAAACACTATACAGAAAACTAAAAATTGAGCAACATGAACCCATCAAACCCAGGGGGAATTCAGATGCTTCGGAAGGGTTAACAGATCCTGCTTCACTTGCTAATCCTGATAAAAATGTGTTGATTAGTCAAATCCTGTGATAAAGACATCATACAATAGCAGACAGGTAAATGTCTCTTCTCTTATCCAAAGATATTAACTTTAAGTTGTAATAAAGTCAAAGATTAGGGTTGGGCTTGGACAAAGGCTGTGCTAGGATAAGGGTTGGGGCTCACAGCAATAGTACAATAATGAGTAATATGTGTCTAAGTTCCCGGAAGTAAAAGAATGCCATTTGCATAGGTTGTTAGTGACAAACCAGGAATATCATAAGTACTGCAAATTTGCTCATTAATTTGAATGCGTATTTCGTGAATATAAAGTTAACTTTGATTGATGAGCCATTATTTGCTAGCTCTCATAAACTAAGAATCAAAATGGCTAAATGGGTTTTTCAATTCACATTTTGTTGTGATTGGCTAGTTAAAGTATTGTTACTTTTTTAATAGGTGGTAAACAAAAGTACATGTATTATAAGTTTTGTGGGCCAGCTGGCCCTATCGGAACTTTTCTTCATTGTCCTTACTGATCCTTAGTACGCACTCAATTAGTTTTTTCAATTGAATTGTTTCATATTTTTTATGTCGGGGCCTTTCATAGCCGACTATAGTATACAGTATGGGTATTTCTCAGTGTTGAAGGCTGTACGCTTGCCTATAATTGCTTAAATCCACTTCATTTGAACTTTGGTGGATAGTTGTCTCATTGGCAATCATACCACATCTCCTTATTTTTATATATATGATGTAACTTTACTGTATCATAATTTAAAAATTTGTAAAATTGTCACAATCATGGTGCATATTATATAGGAGATTATATATATTTTTCATATTTCATAAAAAAAAAACAAATATGATTGAAAATCGGTAAATAAGGATTAAAAAGGTTGACAAGGTTTAAAAATATAAAATACCAAAGGTTTCAACTAGCTTTATCTTGTAAGGTATGGAACCAACCTACCTGACATATTCTTATCATGAACTGGAACAAAATATAACAGAAAATAAACATACTATATGACTACTAAGCTATCACCAGTTTCAACAGAAAAAATTAAGTAGTGTTCTAGAAGATGAAATTAATCTACCCATCACAAATGATGTCACCTCTAACTCTACAAAACTATCAACAAAATCAACAAATTCTTTTAAAAAATTCACAGAAAGATAAAAAAAAATCTAAAAGTAAGTACATTTATTACATACAATCATGAGGATGTAAGCTGGATTGGGTGTATATAATTTACACAAAGATATTATGGTAAATGCAAAATTATAGATTTCAATAATTTAAGAGGGGGTCTTTCAGCAAACTGGCCTTATGTGAAGGAAAATAATAATAAAGGCAAGATATCCAATTACATTTGATGGCATCTTTGTATAATTATCTACATAAAATGTATAATAAAAAAGATGCATGGTGGTAAAAAAAAATTGTTACGTATAAACTATTGCTTTATTGATCAATAGATTATTCAAATAAATGAAGGTTCAGTGGGCAAATAGTTCTGAAAAAATAATGGTGTTTTCAATTCTTTTTTTTATTCCTACAAAGCCAGCCAACCTGTTGATGACCATAGTATATAAAAACCCATTAACCTTATATGTAGTAATGTAAAGATTAATCTATCCTAGAACCAAGGGAGAAACACATCTGGATCAGTTCATACAACTGCTGAAACATTTTAAAAACAATTATTTTCTCCTTATGACAATTTCTGCCATGAATATAAATAGCAGTCTTAATGACTAGGGAAGGATATGACATATACTACATTAATTTACAATAATCTGGTTTATCAAAGAGGACCAGTACAATTTTTATGGAATTGATTATTGAATTGTCTCCGCTGTGATTGATACGGCCGTTTTATCTAGGTTTTCAGAGGGAACGTTTTTCCAAAACAGTTATTTAATTATCCCTACATTACAACATGTAATTACTTTGATAAAGGCTTTGTTATTGATCTGTTTGGGTGGCATAATTAGATAGAAATTTGAATCAGTTATACAATTTACATCGAAAGTGTTTTTTTTTAAATCTTATCACTGTTAATTTTCTCAGAAGATATTTTGATAATTGGATTGAAATTTGTTATTGGATGGATTTAATATACAATACACCACTTAATTTTAAAAAAAAATTTTAATGTTTTAAAAGGCATTGTAAGGACGCAGCAGTATAACATTTTAATTCATAATAATTCAATATTATTAATTGTGACTGTGTTGATATAAAAACTGGTGTAAAACTATGAATATAAACATTTTCTTGACATTTTCAGATGATGGTGTAATGTCACAATTATTAAGAGTGAAGACATTCATATAAATAAATAATTAAAAAAAGAGAGAGAGATTTAAGAATTTCTAATGACAGCTACTTAATAAGCTTTCCCCTACTTTATCTATAGTACCTAAGTAACTTTTGGGTTGGGAGGGCAAGTAACCTGAAAAAAAACCAACAAAAAGGTTACTTGAGCCTTCATAAATGGATTATTACCAATGTCATGTGTACAGGATTTTCTGAATTTATTAGTCAACTGCACTAAGTTCTCAAATGTATTAACTTTCAAAAGATGTAACCGTTTTAAAGGGTTTACATTTGTTTCAATATAGTTCAAGGTATAAACTGAAGTCACCAGCAGATTGTGATGTTAGTTGGATGATCTAAAAATACTGCCTAAACCTCCAGGAAGGTTAAAAGAAGTTACTAGTATTTTGTATTAACACTATCCATAATCTACTCCATGTAATTACCTGAATCTTGTGTAAAAATAGCATGTCTTGCTTCCTCTAAAGTGAACTGTGACCCTTCATCTGAATTCTCGTGCAGCTTTTTCAGCATTGCATCTATGATTTCTGTTAATCCAGTTTGCTGTAGATTTAATAGCAACAATGTACTATTGAGGAAGTCTTCAACATCTTTGTAAGCTCTTATTTCTGCATGGAAATCTTTCATGGGAATTTTCTGAAAGAAGGCAAATTGAATTATAAAACTAACAAATGTCTGAGCAGTATTCCCCAAATGTTCCTGACAGCATTGTTGCATAATCTGCAAGTGACCAGACTAATGCAATAATGTAATCAAAAAGGAAACAAGTCTATAAAAATTCATTGTTGCTAAAGAAGATGTACCCATTTTATTGGAAACAAAATACCATAATAGTAAGAAAATTTCAATACTGTATATATTATGATATATTGATTTTTGGTGTTTAACACCACTTTAAACACACTTGGTGACATCATGGTAGCAAGCTTTTATTGGTGGTGGAATAAGTACTTGGAAAGAACGGCCACCTTCAGTACAAAAACTGGCAATCCTAGTCAAGAAAGATCCGAGTTGTAAGAACCTTGTCATGGGTTAGAAGCCACTCAGGACCCTGTATAACAACACTCATTATATTCTTATGATCATTATTAATGACAACAATGTAACATCTGTGTATCAAATCAATCAAAATTGGTTTATTTCTACAATATTTTGCACTAAAATGATAGGATTTTCATTTTTTTGTCAACTTTCAGATAATTTTAAATCGAAAATCATTAAAATTAGCCCAAATATAGTGTTAAAAATCAATTAATTACTGATTTTTCCATGTGTGTGCAATATTTGAGTATATGTACACAGTACGGTAATTTGATCTTTTATTGTTTGCTAGTTCTATTTTATAACAGTTGGTAATCAATTGCTTTTTAGTTGCTGTTAAATAAAAAGTCACCTTTCTATTCCAAAGCCTTACTGTCATTATTTCATGATACAAATCTCATCAATAAATTGTCCAGAATAAGCATGAAACATTTGCCACTGGACATTAAGCAAACACTAATTAGTCAATTTTTAACTGAATATTTACAGTACATTGTGTACCATGAAATCCATTAAAAGGCATTTTTGAATTTGTAAGCTTTAAATCCCCAATACAAACAAAAATTTATCAATAAAATTGCAAGAAATACTTTATTAACAATAATGACCATTACCAAAAACCATATTGGCTGAATTGAAGGTTATTTAATCTTTACCGTAGTACTACCGTAATTTGTGATAGAAAACAAATATGAAATGTGATTTCATCTACAGAGATAAAACAAATGAACCATAATCAAAACAAAACTTATTAATGCTTCTTCAATATTCCCATACAGCAAATAGAAGAATATTATATCAATTCATATGCTATCCAGTAAGGACTATAACATTGTATATTAAGAGCAAGACAGGAAGCAAGGGAAGTCAATCATGTATTGCTAATCCCTTATAATGATACATAATGCTGGTCAGAAAGCAACAGAAAAAATATTATTTATAGAAGTCAACAGTTTACAGCAAATGTTTTATGTTTCCTTTATCAAACCTTTATATAAAGGTCATCCTCGTGACCAGAGAAACCCAACCTTATAATCTTGACCTTTGTATCTAGGTTCAAAGTGCATAGGTATAACTACAGCGTGACAAAAAGAGGGTGTTGACAAGACAGATTTTTCACTCAAAACAGTGACCTTTATAGAAGGTTTTTGTAATACATTGTAGCATAAACATTTTTATCTAGCACCAACAACTATGTTTGCTTACCTCAAAACAACCATGCAGCAATGATATCTCCTCATCATCTGTAAAAAGAAAACAAAAATTGACAACTGAAATATTATAAGTTTGACATAAACTAGCTATGACAGAAAGGGAACTGAACATTTCATCATCCATTGATGAAAAATACACCAAGGACAAACAGGGAACAGAACATTTCATTGTCTATTGATGAAAAATACACCAAGGACAAACAGGTAACTGAACATTTCATTGTCTATTGATGAAATATACACCTAGGACAAACAGGGAACTGAACATTTCATTGTCCATTGATGAAAAATACACCAAGGACAAACAGGGAACAGAACATTTCATTGTCTATTGATGAAATATACACCAAGGACAAACAGGTAACTGAACATTTCATTGTCTATTGATGAAATATACACCAAGGACAAACAGGGAACTGAACATTTCATTGCCCATTGATGAAAAATACACCAAGGACAAACAGGGAACTGAACATTTCATTGTCTATTGATGAAATATACACCAAGGACAAACAGGGAACTGAACATTTCATTGTCCATTGATGAAAAATACACCAAGGACAAACAGGGAACAGAACATTTCATTGTCTATTGATGAAAAATACACCAAGGACAAACAGGGAACTGAACATTTCATTGTCCATTGATGAAAAATACACCAAGGACAAACAGGGAACTGAACATTTCATTGCCCATTGATGAAATATACACCTAGGACAAACAGGGAACTGAACATTTCATTGTCTATTGATGAAATATACACCAAGGACAAACAGGGAACTGAACATTTCATTGTCCATTGATGTAAAATTCACCAAGAACAAACAGAGAACTGAACATTTCATTGTCCATTGATGAAAAATACACCAAGGACAAACAGGGAACTGAACATTTCATTGTCTATTGATGAAAAATACACCAAGGACAAACAGGGAACTGAACATTTCATTGTCCATTGATGAAAAATACACCAAGGACAAACAGGGAACTGAACATTTCATTGTCTATTGATGAAAAATACACCAAGGACAAACAGGGAACTGGACATTTCATTGTCCATTGATGAAAAATACACCAAGGACAAACAGGTAACTGAACATTTCATTGTCTATTGATGAAAAATACACCAAGGACAAACAGGTAACTGAACA